AGTTGTAACATCTAAACTTTGATTTTCTCATATGAAGCATTTGATGTTACATTCATGCATAAGTTGGCAATAAGGAAAAAATTAAAATGTGAAATCTATTCCAATTTTTGAATTGGATTTACATAATAATGATACGCATATGTTTTTGTTTGACATGTTTCTTATCCGATATTTGTTTTAGTTGCTGTATTAGAAGCTGTAAATTGACACATGCGTTTTACTGAGTCACCTATTTATGACTCAACTATAGAGACTGAGAATCTTTATCAATCAGCCACAGGATGTTTCCTACAGTCTGAATTCCTAGCTGCCTTGGTGACGTTCCCACCTGCTTTGACCTCAGATGATTTCAAGTCTTTTTCTCCAGTCTGGTTCTAGTCTGCTGAGAGGAAAGGTGCTTCTGTGACTCCAGGAAACAATATCTACCAGCAGGAAGTCCCTCAGAGTCACAGTCTGATACTTCAGATTTTGTAAAACATTTTACTGCAAATATTAATAAAATAAAACTCAGGGTTTTAAATCTATTATAAATCTCAGTTTTTGTATCAGCTTTATATCGTGAGTAGTTCTAGTTTTGTTTTGTTTTGTTGTTCAGCTGATGGAAACCTGAACCAAAGATCACCAACTCCAGAAATATTTGAATTAGCCCCTTCTGAACCTGGTGAGTAAAACCTTCTAAGATGTTTTTTTCTTTTTTCTTTATTTCAGCAGCATGTTCATATTTCTGACAAAAATCTAACTCAGACATTAATACCAACTAAAACTCTTGAGTTTTAACACGTTATGCCCTGCAGTGTCTCCTCTAATGTGTGAGAGCTGATGATGATGATGATGATGATGATGATGATGATATAACATGTGGATCAATGATGGATGTGTGTTTAGGATCATTTTCTTGTAGCAACATCAGACTGTGTCCAAGCTTTAACCATCTAGTTGTTGAATGAAGGTCATTTAGAAGAATTTACATCATCCATCATTTAACCAGCAGCTAAATCAATCATCTAGATTTCCTCCCATAGAAAATATTTGACCAGTTGGCTTAATAAACTGAAGCAGACCTTGGCGTTTTATACTAACAATCCAAATGAAATGCATTTAAATTTACTCTGAATCTACCTGCATGAATGGATTGAATGAACTTTATATTTCTGTGTGGAAACTAGATCTGTCTGTAAAGTTCCTGAAGAGGATATTTGTTTTATGACTCAGTAGAGCTGGATCTAATCAGCTGATGTCTGTCCCAAAAAATCTGAATAAATCAGAGTGTCAGAATATTGTGTTTATAAATATATTTCATGATAACAACACTGATCAAATGTATATAAAGATAGTGAGACCTACTATACAGTATTTTCAGAGGGCAGTTTTTTTTAAGCCGAGTTTATCACTTTGTTAGTGATGAAAAGATATAAACCTACATCTTTCATTCTATCTAATCTATTTAATCCCATCAAGATGAAGTAACTGAATAATCAGTTTATTTTTAGAGAATCTGGTCTAAAGACAATAACTTCTGTTTCTTCTGCATTCAACAGTGGAGGCTTCATGTTTTTTTTTGTCTTCAAGACATAAATGTAATGAAGTATCCTCCACTGAGCATGAACCCATGAATATATTATCATCACTGTGTTGTGCAAAAATAATGTCCTGCAGATAATGAATAGATGGTTAACTAGAACTGGAGTTATAGTTAATTATTATCCTATTCAACATCGAAGGCAAAATCAATTTAGTGTTCTTAGGTGGATAACTATAGCCCTGAGTTATCTACTTACCGGTTGTTGATCCACAACTGGAGGGTTCCAGGACCGGCTGTTAAAATCCAGGTATCCACCAGTCTAGTGGCCCCGGTTAAGTTATCAGCAAAGCTATTAAATTATCAATAAAGAACCTTCTATCTCTGTTTATTCGCACTATTACCAAAAGGGGGTGGGTTTGCCCTGAGTGATAAACCCTCCGTTATATGAACGACCAAAACCACTACAGATTAACCAATGATGTCTTTATTCTAATAATTCAGGATTACAGAAATCTAACATCTATGCAAACACTACACACTACTAGAAAAATAAACACGAGGTAGATTAAATGACTAGTTCAAAAGAAAAATAAAAGAAAAATCGAAAATAAAGAATTAAACGAGATAGGAACAACGAAATAACTATTACTGGCGTCTGAAATTGTCCAAAATATGCCAGATATTAATACATTCATTAATGTCCGCTAGCAGCAGGTATAGTGCAATTGATTAGTGTAAACTAATACATCCAACTTAAAATCAGCAAATGATTAAATGCATTAACAAGCAGCAGGTGTAATGATAACAGTGCAATCGATCATGAACATTAATACATCCAGCTTAGTATTGGTAAATTATTGAACATGTATTAACAATAGCAGCGTTCAGCAAAAACCCCTTTTTGCCTGGCAATGTAGTGATGTGTGTGAATGGTTGTGGCTAAATGGGGACCACCCCCCTTTGTTCTCCACGCGGTGAGGGGAACAAAGAGAAATGGGGGGGGCGACCTGTGATCAAGATGGCGGCGACCACGGGACCCGACGTGGCTGAATATGATAACTTTATCTCTATCTCAAAGCAGAAACAATGGAGAGGACAGGAAAGCCAAGAAAGAAAGAAAAAGCACACACTTATTTTAACCAAATAAACAAACCCTTAATCAGCACAGATAAAAAAAAAGAACATCAGCATTAATTCAAAACCCTAAACTGCCTTTCTCTCGCCTGAGCACAGCAATCCTGATGCATCAAAGGAAAGTAAATTGATTTTACTGTGAGATGCGTCGTCCGAGGGAGGTTGGCGTTTCCACGGCAACCGCAGCTTGGTTTCTGTCGGGCAGAGGTTCTCTGCCCCCGGTCCGCCCCTCGGGAAAGTTCAGTCAGCTCGGGCCACAGCAGAGGGGTTGATCTGCTCACGAGTTGGAAAGGAGGGATTTCAGGAGGTGATCTTAGGAGGTGATCGGCAAGAGAGCGTCCTCTCAGCCGATTCATCCAAGGAAGGGGAGAACGAAACTCCGCGGTCAGCTTCAAAGGCTTTCTATCTCCCAGTCAGCGCGGTTGCTATGCACGATGGAACACTGCGATCCGTGACTTTCGATGCAGGAAAACGAAAGCTACTTCCAGTCAGCTTTCTTCTGATATTTCACGTGAAATGGGCCTCTCCTGACGGGCTGCAAACCCATGGAAAAAGAGGAAGAGAAAATGTCTGCTTCTGGCTTTTAAAGCTACACTGTGTAATAATTACAGGGATATACAGTCAGAAATTGAATATATTATACATAACTATGTTATTTATCATCACCTATGAGCTCAGCCTTTTAACCATAATATTTGCGTTGCCTTAGAATTCGTTATTTATAATTACATAGGAGCGGGTCTCGCAGCCATGGAGGCTGACATCTTTGCGCTACGGCAAGCGCAGAGGCAACAAACTACGCTCGAAAGTAACTACGGCAAGTTGAGAGAGATTAACTGAGACGATACTGAACAGTAGATGGCAGTATTATGCCTGAAAAGCGTTTAGTCTGCCTGAAACCAAAGAAGAAGAAGAAGCAGGTATACGGCGCTTCAGTAACAAGAAAGGTAAACAAGGCGGCAGGCGTGAGTGACTTTGCAAACTGTGTGGCCAAACATCAGACGAATGGAGGATCATGCCTACTCTGTATCACAACGAAAAGCGGCGGACACCGAACCCCCGTCATCTAAGAAGCGGAAACACAACGAGAATAAACGCAAGCGTGACAAAAAACACGGATCAACATTGGCACGGCATTTACACGATGGAAGTCACTGATGGAGGAAAAAGGTTTTCAAAGTGACGCTCAAGTCGCCAGTTTTCTGTTGGACAGGTAATTAATCCTACACACACAATTGTCTTTTTATACACGTAATACCCCACCCCCACATCCCGTTTCAACCAAACTATTCTCAAGATGTCTGGTAGCATTACCTAGATAAGGCCACAGCTTCATAAAATTACCACAGCTGATAGTGGCGTGTGTGTGTGTGAGAGAGACAGATATATGAAGCTGCATATTAGCGAGCTACGGATATATACCTCGGTTACTTCTCTCCGGCTCCTTTGGAGATCTTCAAGCCTTTCCTCCTCTCCTCTAGTCACCCCGCTTTCACCTCTCCCTCGCCTGGCCCTAGCTGCACGCCCACCACGGCCTCTCTGCCCTCTTCCTCGCCCTCTTCCTCGCCTTGTAACCCCCGTGCCACAAACAAGACTTGGACTCTGTAAACGGGGAATATATATTCTTCCAGCGAACACGATCTCGCTGTTAAACTAATGACTACAATTACTTCGTCTGTTTATATCACCATGCAAAGCAGCTCACCAAAACGTCACAACGATGTAGAAAAAATAACGGGTATATTTATTATCTTAAGTCTACATGAAATCTATACCCTACACAGACTAATGAAATACTATCTGTAAAATTATCTATGTAAACAAACCTCATCACTTGAGAAGGTAGGTGATGCGGACGTCGTGGAAGACATTTTGTCCCGTAACGCTCGCCGTACAGTTGGGGGGGAGAAGCGGTGGGGGGGAGATGTTCATGTTGCTGCGGTCTGCAGTCTGACCGCTAGATGTCGCTGAAAATTACACACTGTAGCTTTAAACCATGTGTGACACGGGAGCACTTCCTGTGAAAGTATCGGCTGATTGGTCTGTGCCATGAGTGACATGGGGGAACTTCCTGTTGGAGTATTCGGTTGATTGGTCCATTTGAGGTGGCCGCCTCCCACAGTGGGCCAGGTCTTCTTTGTTCTTGTTTTGGAGGGAATCCTTTGTTCTCCCTTGTGGAAAAGAGAAGGGGGATGGGTTCCAGGTGGCTAACAAGGGGGATGGTTTCAGGTGGATGGTTCAGCCCACTGATTTAGCTCCATGTTGGTAATATACCTCAACAACTGGATGCCTTCCATTGGTTTTATGTTTAATCTCACGTAAAATGTTATAATGATATGTTTCAGTAGCTGAAGATAAAACTGAAGAAACCAAAGAGAAACTGGGATCCAGTGATACTGCAGGTTCTGTTAATACGGAGAATAAAGAAGGTGAGATTAAGCTAAAAAGATTAAACACTAAGTTTCATTGTTGTGAGAACCATCTTCTCATTGATTTACAGTCATTTTAATAGAAAGCTAATTTTAACATGGAATTTTAGTTGTTTTGTTCTTAGTAAATCAAGTACATATAAATAGCTTTTTTTTTGCAGGCTTTACAAACAGCAACTGGGAGCTTAAAGAGGTTTCGTTGTTATAACTAATCTAACTTTTCCTCTTTTATAGCAAAAAACAATTCAGGGTCAAATGGAAAACTCAATGAGTACGTTACAGAATCGGCAACCAGCACTGAGAAAGGTGACTGAGACTTTATTTCACTATTTCACACAAAGTAATGTCCAACAGTCTGGAATCATCCCTTACTTCTTCATAGCAGGCTGACATCCTTGTCATCAGACTGTCTTGTTCAGAGAAAGATGTTTTTGTTGATCAGGTTATAAAAATGCTCCTAAACTTTTGGGACTGACACAGAAAATGCAATAGAACCAATTTAAAGAGGATTTAATGTCACTTTATTTCTATCAGGCGTCTTGTTTGCTCCTTTGTTTGAACCCTTAAAGACAGCACAGCCTGACATTTACCATTTAGTTTCATGATCATCGAGTGAAAATAAAAAGATATTTAGATCATCGTTGTTCTGTTTGAAGTTATTAAAATGTTAAATTATTATAACTAAAACTCACGTTTATGGTGTCTTATTGACAGAGGGTGATCCATTGCGGACTGTTACCAATAAAGTAACTGGTAAGTGTACATTTACTATTGTTTGGTGATAAAAAGAAAAAAGCACTCACCCTATTCAAAGTTAGTAAAGTGAAAACCTACAACACAGTGATTGTTTTCTAGACCAGGATCAGAATTCAGCACTGGGGGGGGGACTTTTAACACATGCAGCTCCACCTCCCCCAACAGTTTACAGTAAAAAATTATTTTCTTTTTAATTCAGTACTTTGCACCCTCCTCATTCTGACTCATAATCTCACTTATCTCAGCTTCTTGTAAAGTATCCTCCACTGAGCATGAACCCATGAATAGATTATCATCACTGGATGCCTTACATTGGTTTTATGTTTAATCTCACATAAAATGTTATACTGATATGTTTCAGCACCTGAGGAGAAAACAGAAGAAACCGAAGGGAAACCAGGATCCGGTGATACTGCAGATTCTGCTGCTACGGAGAATAAAGAAGGTGAGATTAATCTAAAAAGATTTAACTCTAAGTTTCATTGTTGTGAGAACCATCTTTAACTTTCATAAACCCACCTGATGATTGATGACTACTCTCACTAAAGACTAAACTGATATGTTTAACCAGCTGGGAAGAAACTAGAAGAAACCAAAAAGGATCCAGGATCCAGTGAGCCTGCAGGTTACACTGATGAAGAGAAAAACGAAGGTGAGATTGAGCTACAAAATATAACAATAAGTTTCATTGTTGTGTTTCAGGTTGCTCCTTCAGTTTCATCCTGTGGTGTTTCTTGAATTAACAAATGTTTTAATGTTTGAGTGAATGAGAAAAAATAACCAAAAACTTTTATAATCTGTGTTAGATAAATGATCACTATCAGTGACATTCAAGTAAATCTTCCAGTTTGAAATGTGAAAAAAATCCAACAGCTAATTTCTCAGTGATACCTTAACAAAGCTGAAGGAAAACATCTGTAAAACAACTCAGGTTCAGCTTTCTAGCCTCTGAACTTACATGTTTACTGATGAGTTATTATTGTATTTAGAAATGCAAGGTATTTATGAATTAATATTTCTAATGTTGATTGACCTTATTGGTTGACTTACGATCAACTGTTCCTTTTCTTAAAACCAGAGTTTTGTGTTAAGAGGACGCAGCTTAGAGCTGCTAGAAAGTTAGACGAGGCTTGGAACAGCACTGAGGATGGGACGTAGCTGGTAGCTGCAGCGTTTCCAATAAGGTTGAACTACAGGAACAGGCAGAGCAACAAACGTCTGAGGAGACATGGAGGCAGAGGGATTAGATTCTGTTCTGGCAGCAAGTGGAGAGTGGAGCAGGTGCATGCAGGAGACAGAGTGTGCACAAGGAGAAATTGGCTCATGCATTCTCTCACTCATGTTTAACAGGCGTTCACTCTCAGAAGCAGCTACAGGGTTGTGCATGTGCATTTTTTTCAAACTGGAGAGAGTGGGTCTTATCAAAAATTCACAAAAATCCTCCAATTTACCTTTAAATACTCAAAAATATAAATAACATTTTCTTATATAAGTACATTTCCGTGTAATTTTCAAATTGATTTTAAAGAACTTGTAACTTTCATAAACCCCCCTGATGTATTGATGAATACTCTCACTGAAGACTAAACTGATATGTTTCAGCAGCTGAGGAGAAAACAGTAAAAACCAAAGTGGAGCTAGGATCCAGTCAGACTACAGGTTCTACTGATGAAGAGACAAAAGGAGGTTAGATTGAGCTAAAAAGATTTAACTCCTAAGTTTCATTGTTGTGTTCAGGTTGCTCCTTCAGTTTCATTCTGAGGTCTTTCTTGAATAGACAAATATTTAAAGGTTTGAGTAAATGAGAAAAAAATTACCAAAAACTATTATGATGTCTTAGATAAATGATCACAAACCTCCAACAGCTCATTTCTCACCTTAACAAAGCTGAAGTAAAACATCTGTAAAACAACTCAGGCTCAGCTTTCTAGCCTCTAAACTTACATGTTTACTGATGAGTTATTATCGTATTCAGGAATTTAACGTATTAATGAGTTAATATTTCTAATGTTGATTGACCTTATTGATCGATTAACGAATAACTCTTTATTTTCTTTAAACTAAAGTTTTCACTTTATTCAAGAGGATCTTTCTATTATATGAGGGACTTAATAGTTAAAAATTGTACGATTATATTATAACAATGTATAGTGCCTGCTTTAGGAAATACTGAAATTTCACAGAAATGAACAATTCTGGGTCAAATGGAAAAAATAAGGATGTGATAGAATCAGCACCCAGCCCTGATAAAGGTGACTAAAGTCTTTATTCCACTGTTTCACACAAAGTAACGTCCAACAGTCTGGATCCCTTATTTCCTCACATTTTTCTTCAAAGCAGGCAGATTTCTTCTAGTCGTCTAAATCAGCCTGAACCAAAAGTTCAACAGACCGTCTTGTTCAGAGAAACATGATTTTGTTGATCAGGGTATAAAAAGGATCCTCCAGTTTTAGGACTGACACAGAAAATTGCTCCTTTGTTTGAATCCTCAAAGACAGCACAGCCTGACATTTACTATTTAGTTTCATGATTATTGAGGGAAAATAAACCAAAGATATTAAGATCATCATTTAATTGAAAGTTATTAGAGCTTTCTAGCCTCTAAACTTACATGTTTACTGATGAGTTATTATCGTATTTAGGAATTTAACGTATTAATGAGTTAATATTGCTAATGTTGATTGACCTTATTGATCGGTTAACAATTAACTCTTTATTTTCCTAAAACCAGAGTTTTCACTGTTGTGAAGATCTTTCTATTAAATGAGGGGCTTAATATGCTGAGTTAAAAATTGTAAAATTATATTACAACAATTTATAGTGCCTGCTTTAGGAAATACTGATTGAAATGTAATGTGTACTTATTTTTTTTTTTGTCCTCTGTAAATAACATCATGATTTTTTTTTATAGACAAACAAGCTTTTTAATCCAAATGTTTCATCAACAACAGAGCGCTTGAAGAAGCTTAGTTGTTTTAATAAATCTAACTTTTCCTATTTTACAGAAATGAGAAATTCAGGGTCAAATGGAAAAAGTGAGGATGTGATAGAATCAGCAACCAGACCTGATAAAGGTGACTAAAGTCTTTATTCCACTGTTTCACACAAAGTAATGTCCAACAGTCTGGATCCCTTATTTTTGCAATCAGAAACAAATTAAATATGATTTAATGTCACTTTATTTCTATCAGCCGTCTCAAATCCATCATTTATTCCCTGGTTTGCTCCTTTGTTTGAACCCTCAAAGACATCACAGCCTGACATTACTATTTAGTTTCATGATCATTGAGGGAAAATAAACCAAAGATATTAAGATCATCATTAAATTGAAAGTTATTAAAATGTTCAATTATTATAACTAAAACTCACATGTTTATGGTGTCTTATTGACAGAAGTTCATCCATTGCTGACTGATGCCAATAAAGTAGATGGTAAGTGTACATTTACCATTGTTTGGTGTTAAAAATGAAAAAAGAACTCACCAAGTTCAAAGTTAGTAAAGTGAAAACCTACAATGCAGTGATTGTTTTCTAGACCAGAATTCAGCACTAGAACCATTCAGGGAGAACCAAGGAGAACCAGAGCAGAACTGCAGACCTGAGGACAGACCTCAGATCAGTGGAGGATCTGATGGGTTCATTTCATTCTGATCTTTGTTTTTGTTCCTGTTCTTATTCAGGCTTAACATCTATGACCATTTGGAGAAACATGGTTTTAGAAGCGGGGGGGCTTTTAACACATTCAGCTCCGCCTCCCCATTGATTCATTACAGCAAGTTGAATATCTTTTTTTTTAGTACTTGCACCCTCCTCATTCTGACTCATTATCTCAGCTTTTATGAGAGAGAGACCAACAATATAAATACAGCCCTCATACTTCTGAAGTATATTCCACTGAGAATGAAGCCATGAATTTATTAAACATAGAATAACTGGATGTGTTTTGTCAGTTTCATGTGTTAATTTTACAGAAAACTTTATTCTGATGTGTTTCAGCAGACGGGAGTGTAGTTAAAGTAAAAAAAGGGAAACCTGATTCCAGCCAGACTGCAGATTCTGCTGATATGCATCTTAAAAAAGGTGAGATTAGTTTATGGGCTGAGATAACTGTCAATAAAGACATACCTGAATGGGTCTAATGTTGTTCATGTAAATCAAATAAACTTAACCGCAGGGTTAACAATCTATTATAAATCTCAGTTTGTGGCATTTTTATGATAACCTCACAGATAAAAATTGTTTGGCTAAAAGAAATGTGACTATTTTTTTTAGAATAGCTCAGTTTAAATTAAAGTTGTTTTTTATCCAAATAAAGGAGAGTTTTCAGGTCACTTTTCATGTCCGATATAAGAATGATAATGCAGGCTTTAAGTTCTGGCAATTGGTGATACTGACCAAATATGATATTATTGTAATTATTTTCTATAGACAAGGATCATCAACAAGCCTCAGACCCAGCAAATGACAACCAGGTCCAAATACCAGCATCTCCAACCTCAATCCAACCGAATAGTAATAAATCTTGTGAGTAAAACCTTCTAAGATTTTTTTTTCTTTTTTATGTGTTAATTGGTTTTAGTGTGACATAGTAAACTCAAACCGTCTCTCTGACGCCGCTGTTGGAATCTCATGCTCTCTGGTTTGTCTTGAGACCAACATTTTAAATTTAGCCCTAATAGCTGTGAGGTTTGCTCCAACATATAAACGAGGTTTTCCTTGTACAACTCTTCATGTCCGATATAATAATGATAATGCAGGCATTAAGTGCTGGCAATTGGTGATACTGACCAAATATGATATTATTGTAATTCTTCTCTATAGACAAGGATCATCAACAAGCCTCAGACCCAGCAAATGACAACCAGGTCCAAATACCAGCATCTCCAACCTCAATCCAACCCAATAGTAATAAATCTTGTGAGTAAAACCTTCTAAGATTTTTTTTTCTTTTTTATGTGTTAATTGGTTTTAGTGTGACATAGTAAACTCAAACCGTCTCTCTGACGCCGCTGTTGGAATCTCATGCTCTCTGGTTTGTCTTGAGACCAACATTTTAAATTTAGCCCTAATAGCTGTGAGGTTTGCTCCAACATATAAACGAGGTTTTCCTTGTACAACTCTTCATGTCCGATATAATAATGATAATGCAGGCATTAAGTGCTGGCAATTGGTGATACTGACCAAATATGATATTATTGTAATTCTTCTCTATAGACGAGGATCTTCAACAAGCCTCAGGTCCAGCAAATAACAACCAGGTCCAAATACCAGCATCTCCAACCTTAATCCAACCGAATGGTAATACATCTGGTGAGTAAAACCTTCTAATATTTTATTTATATATATATATATATATATATATATATATATATATATATATATATATATATATATATATATATATATATATATTTATTTTTAGCAGCAGGTTCATAGTTCTCACATAAATCAAACTCAGAAATCATTACTGTAATGAACGGAAGACCCAGAATTCAGCCAGAACACAGGGTATTATGGTTTAACAGTTTATTGTATAGAAAACTGCAGCAGGATGTGAAAGACTTGTCTGAGACTGGAGCTGGACCTCTCAGCTTCTGTAATGAGAGAGGGAATATTAGTGACCAGGGAAGGATGGTGGATTGAAGTCAGACTGAGAGTTCTAGATCACAGACCTGGAGAGCGTTTGATTCCAAACCAGTCGGCCTGTGACGTCACTGAACCTTGTTGTGCTTAGAAGTGCATCCAGGACGTCTCCAGGGAATCCTTCCGTGTTCGTTAAAGGTTTGTCCAGGGAAATGCAACAGGTCAGAACTGTGAGAGCAAAATACAGTATGAATAGCAAAAGGGCAAACAAGAGTGCAAGGTCTGTGAGCAGGTCCAGGGTTCAGGCCAGGTGACCTGCACAGTTCCAGGTCCAGTAACAGCCAGGCCTTTAGATCAGACAGGGTTCAGACAGGCTCAGATAATCGAGAGACCAGACAGGTCAGGCAAACAGGCAGGAAGTTAGGAATCAGAATGCTGGAATAGATCTTACTGGGTGGCTCCAAATAATCTGGCACTGACAGGGCGTTAACTACCATTGAGGACACTGAGGTCATGTCCTTCGTATTTTTTATATATCAACGTTATGCCTAAATTGTGATATATGAACTAAAATAAGTTAAACTGACTATAATACAAGGATCTTGGTGTTTTACATTTGAAGAGCCAAGATAACCTCACAGATATGTTTTTTTTAGTTTAGGAATACTGCTAATTTTTTTAACAATAGCTCAGTCTATATATATATATTTTAATCGAAATAAAGGAGAGTGTTCAGGTCAAAGTGTGGTATTTCTTTTCTATAGATATGGATCAGAAACCACTAAATACGAAACAGGTCAAAACATCATCATCTCTAATCTCATCTCAACCAAACGGCAATGAATCTGGTGAGTAAAACCTTCCAAGATGTTTTTTTTTCTTTTTATGTGTTAATTAGTTTTAGTGTGACATAGTAAACTCAAACCGTCTCTCTGACTCCACTGTTGGAATCTCAAGCTCTCTGGTTTGTCTTGAGACCAACATTTTTAATTTAGCCCTGATAGCTGTGAAGTTTACTCCAACATATAATCTAGGTTTTCCTTATATAACTCTCATTTGTGATATAATAATGATAATGCAGGCTTTAAGTGCTGGCAATTGGTGATACTGACCAAATATGATATTATTGTAATTCTTTTCTATAGATGAGGATTATCAACAAGCCTCAGACCCAGCAAATAACAACCAGATCCAAATACCAGCATCTCCAACCTCAATCCAACCGAATAGTAATAAATCTGGTGAGTAAAACCTTCTAAGATTTTATTTTTATATACTTTTTTTAGCAGCAGGTTGATAGTTTTCACAAAAATCAAACTCAGGCATCATAATCTGTAATGAACGGAATTTGAAGACCCAGAATTCAGCATTATAGTTTAACAGTTTATTGTATAGAAAACAGCAGCAGGATGTGAAAGACTTGTCTGAGACTGGAGCTGGACCTCTCAGCTTCTGTAATGAGAGAGGGAATATTAGTGACCAGGGAAGGATGGTGGATTGAAGTCAGACTGAGAGTTCTAGATCACAGACCTGGAGAGCGTTTGATTCCAAACCACTCTGCCTGTGAGTCACTGAACCTTGTTGTGTTTAGAAGTGCATCCAGGACGTCTCCAGGGAATCCTTCCGTGTTCGTTAAAGGTTTGTCCAGGGAAATGCAATAGGTCAGAACTGCGAGAGCAAAATACAGTATGAATTGCAAAAGGGCAAACAAGAGTGCAAGGTCTGTAAGCAGGTCCAGGGTTAAGAGAAGAGAGGTTAATAAGAGAAGTTAAACTCTTTGCATTTAACCAATCCCCTTGGAGAGCAGTGGGCCACTGTGCAGCGCCCGGGGAGCAAGTGTCTTCCTCAGAGAGCCAGAGTGGCAGTTTCTGCTTGGGTTTCGAACTCCCAACCTTAGTATTCCAAGCTTTATGCCCTAACCACTAGGATACCACTCCCCATTGTCATTTTCGATATAGTAAAGAAAATGCAGACTTTAAGTATTGGCCAATGCTGATACTGACCAAATATGATATTATTGTAATTATTTTCTATAGATGGGGATCATCAACAATCCACAGACTCAGTAGATAAGGGGAAGGGTCAAACAACAACACCTCCATTCTCATATCAACAAAAAGTTAATGAATCTGGTGAGTAAAACCTTCTAAGATTTTGTTTATCACTTTTTTTAACAGCAGGTTGATAGTTCTAAGAAAAATCTAACTCAGACATCAATACCAACTAAAGCTCTGACTTTAAACACGTTTTGCTCTGCAGAACGTCTCCTTTAATGTGTGTGAGCAGATGATGATGATGATGATGATATAACATGTGGATCAATGTTGGATGAGTGTTTAGGATCATTTTCTTGTTGCAACATCAGACTGTGTCCAAGTTTTAACCATCATAGCTGTTAATAACACCTAACAGACGTAAACAGTTCAAAGGACACCTCAGGTTGGTGGAAAGAAATATAGTTTTAGCTGTGGTTTTATTTTACCGTCCTTTTTATTGTGCGAGAGCATGCACGTTTCCATTTGTCCTGTTTACAAGTTGCTGTTCTCATAGCTGATACAAGCTTACTGTGCCCGAAAGTCTTACGTAACCCCTAAATCCCTCAATCACTCTATAGAGCTGGGACTATATAGTGGACTTTATAGTAACTCAGTTAACTTACCGTTTGGTCAGATGATCACTTTTTTGCTCTGTTGGTCACGTAACTCCTCCTCCACCGCACGGGGCCTGCGCCATCTTTGTTATTGGTCGCCGCTGTCGGGTAGCGGTAGCCTATGGTGACAGCGGGCCGCTGTGACAGCAAATCCCAATACTTTGCGAGGAGAGCTCTCCATGCTAAAATGATTTTCCAT